TATTCCGTGTCCCTATCCAAGAGAATGGGATTCAATACCATACCCGGCCAAATTCAATCTGGTTAACTTCACACCGTTTGAGGGGAAGAGCTCGCCTATTCAACACTTGATTTATTTCAAGTCTCATTTGGGCATAATCTCTGGAAACGAGGCCTTAATGATCCGGTCATTCGTTGGCACCCTTCGTGGGCCCGCCTTCGATTGGTACCGACGGCTCAAGCCAGGGAGCATCAATTGCTGGGATGACATGGAAAGTTTGTTCCTCAGTAATTTCTTCGATGATGACACCGAAGTGTCAATCGGAACCCTTTTGGATGAGAAGCAAAAAGACGGAGAGTCAGTTGACAATTTTGTCAAGCGCTTCCGTAACATGGCAATGAATTGCAGAGATCCTATCACGGAGGAGTTCATCCTGCAAACATGCCACAATAACCTCTCCATCGATGTCCTGGAAGCTCTGGGGGTCGTGCCATCCACAACTTGGAAGGAGTTAAAATCTCGGGGTGAACAAGCTGAGCACTTTCTTAAAAGAAAGAAAGCTGAGAGAGGCCAACCAATGACATCTGCAATCGTTGAGAATGCGACTCTCGATCCGAGGTTTCAAAAGGAATATTCTTTCGAAGATGATGAAGCTCTAGCCATATTGGAATACCTCCTCGCTAATGACAAAATCGAGCTACCACCTATTAAAGATCAGGATGGAGCTAAGAGGATTACGGATCCAAACTACTGTGCGTACCACAGAAGGGTTCTTCATCCCACCGAGATTTGCTTTGGACTTAAAAACAAGATCCAAGCCCTAATTGACTCCGGCGTCATAACGACGAAAGAAGTCGAGTAAAGACGACCATACAACTCCAATGGGTGCACGAGTATAAACTGTTTCCCCACACTCCAAAGAGCATATGAGTATAAACTGCTTCTCGATTATCCAACTGAGTACAATGTTAAACCCGGTTTCGCAAAGGAAACTGGGGGTGGATGATTTATATAACGGGAAGTTCCTGGAGAATCTTATATTCTTAAGGATAACCCGAACATGCGACTGAGGATAACGTACTCCTCGTTACACCCAGTTTTGCAAAGAAAGCTGGGGGTGGATAATTCATGTAACGGGAAGTTCCCGGAAGAATGTTAAATGTAATATTCTTAGGGATAACCCCGATCATTATGAACAAAGTGATAAACACTAAACTCCTACTATGACTTCCGAATACTTTTTTTTGCTGAGATGAGATTCGATCACCTCTTTAGATCAATCTTCCCTCACAAAACTCCTACTTGGTCAAACCTTTAAACAGTTAGGACCAAATCCAAAATCCCCTCTCGATTCGTTCCTTTGAAATCCAAGTGGAATCTCCCCAAACGAAGCCCTACCCAAATCAGAAACGAAGAGAAGAAGAAGAGGTGAAGAACTGGTCGAAAATCGCTCGGAGATCGCCCAAGAGTCGCCTGAAAATCGCCAAAAATCCGACGTGAAAAAGCCCTAAAAAACCCCTAAGTTCGGGTTTTATACTCGCTGGCTCGCATCGCGAGACAGAAAACCCTGTCTCGCTGAGCAAGACAGAAAACACTGTCTCGCTCAGCGAGACAGAAAACACTGTCTCGCTCAGCGAGACAGAAAACACTGCCCCGTAGCATGAGATGGAGGGCATTCTCTTAGTCAAAAGCCAAATGCAATGCCGATGAATACTCCAATGGGTACACGAGTCTAAACTCGATGGTTCCGGACTGTAGACGGGTTCTAGGTCGGGAGGCTCTCAGAATCGACTCGAAATCATCTCGTGCCGATGTCCCTTTGCTCGTCATGTTGGTGGTGACCCTCGGAAATTCTCCGTCTTCAACCATCCTTCTTCTTCGTTGGGAACGCCTAGGCCTTGGTTTTGGCGTCTCCGCACTGAGTCTTTCAAAAACTGAAACTCTTTCGGGGACTGCCTTAATGCAGTTGCATTCAGACAATACCGCCCGAATGAGTTTGGAACAGGGGCATTGAGTTTCCTGTTCTCGGGGAATCCTCTTCCTGGTTCTATTCGTACCCCAGCACGATAGTACAACTCGTCATTTTGACAGTCGGAGTAACCTATCGTGTGTGGGCGCGACTTCTCAGGTATAACACTATCACTATCAGATGATAATGTTTCCATCTGAGGTTGGATTGCCTTCTTTGGGTTTTCAAAAGTTACACGCCTCGAAACGTGCCTTTGTGGGCGCGAGTCTTCAGCGTGCTCTTGGACTTCGATGCGCAAGTTGGTGAGCGCAGCTGCCTTGAGTTCTTTGTTTTACTGGAGGTGACGGCGACCCCCCGCGTGTCGAGTCGTTCTGGGCTTCTTCATCGGGCCAAACGCTCGTGAACTGGAGCTTTGCCTCTTTCGTCGGGAATTGGACCGAGGCGCTCCAAGACTGGCTTTCTCCTTCGGGTGGATTCTGCATGATCTCCCGGAGTATCTATGGGAATTCTCGGCGACTTAGCTTGGTTCGCCGGAGGTTGAATTTTGGTTGGAGGCTACAGTTGCTGGAGATAGGATATAAAATTCTTCCTCTCCAATTTTGGGTTTATCTCTACCAACAAACAAGAGACCAAGAGATAGAATATAAAATTCTTCCTCTCAATCATCGGGTTTATCTTTACCAAAAAAAAAAAAGAGACCGTATTACTCCAATAGGTACACGAGTCTAAATTGTTTCCCTACCATCAACAGGAAGTTTTTGGAGAATATTACTCAGAATATTCTTAAGAATAACCTGATTACCTCCCAACGGGTATATGAGGTTAAACTATTTCCCGAACACTCCAATAAAGTATATGAGTATAAACTATCTCTACAATAGCAGTTCTAATTCAAGACTTCGACGACGGTCACGCGATAAACGCAGCACCGGAGGAATTTTAGCTATTCTACAAAGCACTGAATAGGCTACAAGATGACGAAGTCAAGAGTTGAAGCCATTTATGAGTCCTTCCGTATGATCTACTCAATCAAGCCTTGAAGGAATTGCAGATAAGATCTATCTTATCCAAAGTATCCCAGACTCCTCTATAAAAGAATGAGTCTGGAATACTTTGGAGGGGGTATCCCAGCTTGTTTGCGTCAAAAGTTGGTTTTGTCATGGAATTCATTATATCTTCAGTCGATTACAATAAATTCAAAAAAAAAGATAGCCTTTTTATAAGACTTCTTTTACACAACAAAATGAAAATTACAACTCTTGGGAAACAAACGCAGGATCGTTGTTTGGATCACTGCTTGCGTGGGATCTTTGCCTGTGCCGGGGGTGCGTTAGCCCATGGACCACCAAATCACAGATTCTGATTGAATCGTGAGGGGTTTAATGATTCTGACTTCGTTTATCGAAGTGAGAACTTGAAACGATATCTTATCAAGGTAAGATAGTCGTTCTTCTTGAAATCAAGTCAAAGCCTGAATATCAAGGGATTGCCGGAAGCTCAAGAACTCTGCTCTGTCTGCTCTGAAATGCTCAAAATGATCCGCCCCTTCAAAAATGGTCTTTGGGGGTATTTATAGCCTCCAGGATGAACAGTACTTCCGAGACAGTGTTTACTGTCTCGGCGGCCGAGACAGTAAAGACTGTCTCTCCCCGCGAGACAGTAAATACTGTCTCATGAACAGTAACCGTCTGGCAGTTTTTGTTGTAACTGCCTTCCCATGTCTCGCTGGCGAGACAGTTCATACCTGCTTTGCTTTTCAATATGAGATCCCTTTGAGTGATCTTCTCTATGTTTGGGATATCTATTAGCATTTTTTGACGCCTACATTGGTGAGACGGGAATTCTTATTGCGATCTGACTCTCTTGTTATGCTGCCGAAGTGCTGCCGAAATTTTCGCTGCACGCAACATTAAGTGCAACTAAAGATATAGACAGAGAGGTTTTGTGTAATTTACCCTTGATAATAGTATGGCCTAGGGCTCCTTTTCCTTTTCAAAAAAAGAAGGAAGGAAAAAATGAATATATTGACCTGCTTACAACAATATTGAAAACTCACTTTCTAATCCTTTTCAAAAAAAAGAAAAAGAAAAAGAGAACTCACTTTCTAATTATTCTAACTGAATAGATTCTTCATACCTTTGATTGCCAAGAACTTTTATAATTATTTATATGGGTCAATAGTATTAATTTATCCAATGGGAACTAAATTTAAGTGAGTTTTTATATAATTTAATTAATTAATGTCATTTAACAACTCCATAAAATAAAGAGAGTATATTGCTGAATTGCATAAATTAATTATCTACAAGACTACAACTAAGAAGGTAGAGAATCCCATGGCATTTGAGATTAGCGAAATATTTTCTTTCTCAAGACTCGTGTACCGCCGACGTACAGTACTACCCCATATCCCTCCATACTGGGGGTACATTCGGTCAATATACGGCTCAGATATAATACTTATCATGTCTATATCTGCTTACCCATCATGGATGCAAATATGGTTATGAATATATCTCGGTGACGAAAATTCATATATTATCCACTAAAATCGGATATGGATATACATGCGGATATATAAATGGATATGCATGTGGATAAAAAACGGATATGAGAAAACTAGAAAATATGGGAAAACAATATAGATCACGTGATTAAAAAGTGTTCAACGTATTCATTATATATGAAAATCTAAGATTAGACATCTTGACCATCAAAAATAACATCAAATTCATAATCTTAGGCTTAAAATTATTACAACCATATGATCAATTTATATTCAGATATTTTGGCTAAGGATGTAGATAATTCATTACAAAATCATATCTGTAACCATATCCTATCAGTTATATATATATTTGATTAACCATATTCGTAACATAGTAAATACAGTTATAACATTTCCTCACATGCAGATACAGTCTAGCACTCTACTCCCTCCCTGTGAGTCTACTAAATAATGAAAAAAAACCCATCCCCGTAAAAATAAAAATAAAAATAAAAAATGGAGCTGAGAGAAACAAAAGAAGCCTCCCCACCGTGCTTGTGCCTGTGGTCCCCACACCCACCTCGAGTACCCCTCCTTTTCCCCTTCATTTTCTACCCCAACCCACTTTCCTCACCCCTCTCCTTCCCATGGACCGAGCCCGGGAGCCCATCGAGCCCAAGCAAACCGGCAAGGCCAGGCTCTCGATGGCCGTCGATGACGATGAAGAGGAGGAACAAATATCGCAGGACGTCGACAAGAGGAGGAGGTCGGTATCGTCGCCGACGCCGTCGTCGGTGGTCGCGAGGAGGCCAGCTGTCGCGGGTGGAGTCGCGTGTCAGGCCGAGAAGTGCCCTGCGGATCTGACGGGGGCCAAGAGGTACCACCGCCGTCATAAAGTTTGCGAGGCCCATTCGAAGGCCCCCGTCGTCATGGTCGCCGGCCTGCGCCAGCGATTCTGCCAGCAATGCAGCAGGTACTCCTTTTTATTTTGCGGTCGATTAAATATTTATGACTGTGAGCTAGCGTTGCCACCTTTAGACGGCTTAATTCTTCGGCCCGAGCGTTATGAGCTCTAACCCCGTACATTTCCTAGTTTAAAAAGTAATGATTTTGGCTAATTTTTTCTCGAATAATAAGTCGGATAACTCACATCTCTTGCTTCTTCAAGGTCACCAGTATCTCTATCGTAAATATAACTAAACACATTTTCCTATTTCTCAGGTAAACCTCTATATATGATTCCAGTCTTGGATCTTTAATCACTTTAATTAGCCTCTTAACACAACTCGACTGAGATGATCATGTTTAGCTCTGAGTTTGGTCGTACAGGCCAATATTAACACTGCCCGGCCGCAGCTTCAGAACCAAGGGTTAAGTTAGCAATTTGGTAGAAATTTTAGTTTGATTTTCCTTTTCCTTCCTGTTTTCTTTTCAGTTGCCTATACCCTGCAATAATCAATGACACGGTCAACAAGTCTCCACCTTGAACGATCTTCGATTAATACTGAAAGCATCTTTCATCTATGACCATTCCTTCTTTCAGCAGTTTGATCGAACATATATCATCGATCTAGACTAAATTCCGTAATTGTATAAACAAATTAAAGGGGAAAAAAAAATCTCAACATGATGTTAATTTCAAACATTTTGCCCTAACGGAACACCCTTTAAAAGGTTCGACGATGTAAGAGCGTACCTTTCAAAGCGGGACTAAAACAGGTTTCTTAAGCTTTCCTAATATACCAAGAAATCTGATAGGTTCCACGAGCTATCGGAGTTTGATGAAACTAAGAGGAGCTGTCGCAGACGCTTAGCTGGCCACAACGAGCGACGCAGAAAGAGCTCCGCGGAGTCTCAGGGCGAGGGCTCGAGCCACTGCAGGCAAGCCGACCAAGGGGGTACTATTCAAATAAGCGTCCCGGGGAGTCCATCCTACAAGCATTTCCAGATCAGATAATGAAATTATGCATGCTCTCTCTCTTCTGTCATCATTTGGCTTAATTTGTACTGATTAATGTGGTAAGTTCTCTAGCAGTATGTGTTGTAGAAAAATTGCACTTGACTCATATTTGAAGCCGTGCTATTCTCTGGCTGTTTTGATGTTAGTTAGCAGCCAGGTTAATGTATCTATAAGCTTCGCATGGCTATTAAACATTTTATGGTGTAATAATAATTTCTCTCCGTTAGAGCATCCTGATATATATATATATACGTACTTAAAAATTTCCGTGGTGTGTATTTCTTTTGCTAAATCTGTTCGAAAGCAATATCATCATTCCTAATGCAGGATAATTTAAAGATCAAATCAAGATTTGGCTGATCGAAGAGTTTTAATCCGGTGAAAGGACTTACTTGGATATATAGAGATTAGGTTAGTTAGACTTAAAAATTTACATCAGAGTTTGGATTGAATTTTAATTCTACGATGGAGCTACTTTTTAGTTGAATTGCAACGGATTAAAATTTTGTTTCTACTTTCGAATTTTAATCAGATAGGATATCTTTAATGGATTAGTTAGTTAGGATTTTAAGCCCTATATAAAAGGGGCGTAGGTTTTCTTTATTGATTGGATATGAAAAAATAAACTGAAGAAAATTTTGAGTGATTTTTCCAAGTCCGGAGTCATTGTTTCTTGGTGTCAAACCAAAGCTTTGAGCATCTGCGTGTGAGCCCAGAACTAAAGGTCAGATGACTGCGACTAAATCCCAGATTTCTTCTGTTCTTTATCTCGCCTTTGTTTTGTTTTTGTTTTGTTTATAGCGTTTAGCAAAAATCATGTCACTTCTGTCCTTTGTTTTATTTATTAGTTAGTAAAAATCACCTCAATTCCTTCTCTTCTTTAATCCATGGAAAAATATTTCTCGCTATGCTGCAAAGAGCCTCAATCAAACAAAAAAACTGCCAAAGTCCCAGCGAATCAGAAACCTTATTAAGGTGAGACCTTTAATACCTTTGCACGCTTGTTTCTGAAAGAATTGGAACAGGTAGTGCAAACTTAAAATGTGTGTTGATTGTGCCTAAAATTTCTACAGTTTTGTTAAAAAATCCTCATTTTGATAGAACTTCACTAGTCCATTGCCCTTTACAATGCATACCCAAAGGGTAAGTAAAACAGGGTCATAAGAATAATCTGATTAATTCTATTAGATATTTATCGGAGGCTTTTATGGTTTATAGGCGAAGCTTTTGATCAATACAGTGGCAGTAGATCCACGCTAGTATTTGTGAATGGAAAAAAATGCCTTCTCTACACATGAAGAGGAAACATGTTACAACAAGTTACCTGTTCCTGAATACAATAATTGATATTCTTGTGAATACGATAGAGTACTTCTAGGGTTCCTTGTTTAGTATAAAAAGATAGTACCAACATCTATCTTCTTCTATATATGTAAATGATCGCAGCAATTTTTAGTGCAATAATCTTTTTTTATTTATAAGAACTTGATCTTTTGGTACAAAGGAGGATTATGATCAGTTCACAGAACTTTTCTATAATAATTCTTACTTTAGATATTTGAACAAATAATCTTTAAGATAAACTTCAAACTTAACATTTTGGCCTGACTGCTTAGTGGGGGATAAGCTTATTTACTTGTGATCTGACAATATCATGAAAATGATGGCTTTTGTTCTTTTTTTTTTCTCTTTTTAGTGTGGTAGGTTTCGGCACGTTTGCAGCGATAAGTTTGTGCATAGTTGCATATTTCTATAGATCCTTTAGTAGATTTCACTTAACTTTTCTGTTTTCAATTCAATGAGGTTAATGTCTGCATGCTGCTTATCTTGCTGAAAGTTCTTAGCTTCCTGACTCCACAAAATTTTCTTTTGATGAGTACTCTTTGCTAAAGTTTGGGTAGCCAAAAAAGAGGGTAACCAAATTGATGAGTACCTATCAGCAATGCGTGCTGATTTGTATGGCTGATGAATGTTTCATTAGCTGCATAATTCTTTATATGAAATGGTACTTCAAGCAATGTATGTATATATGACAATGTTCGATGAATTCCTTAACGGTAAATCTTGAAAGTCATAATGTGGCAGATATAGAATCTAAAAACCAGACCGGCCATTGGAAAATGAGTAATTCTTCGAAAGGTCAGATGAGATGAACATTACTTGTATTTCTGGAAACCTACTAGCTAAATTCTCACAATATATCCCCTAGTTAGATTCACTTGCAATTTTCTTTCGAATCCAATGCAGGTTAATGTTCCTCTAGTTATCCGTATTAAGAATTTGATCTTTTTTTTTTATTGAAGTATATATGGAAATTAGTATTGTACTCATTATGCTATAATGCAAATAGGACACAACCTCCTCAACATTAGCAAGACATCCTAAACGAGAGAGTGCCACTGAGAAATATGAGGTTAGCTATAGAGATAATAACGGGGAGGATATTCTACATAGAGATTGAAGAAGAAGCAACTGTGGAGAGTTTGAAGAAGGAGATTGCAAGCAAGGAAGGATTCGAAGAAAACAGGTTGATTCTAATGCACAGGAATGGACGTCTACTAAAGAACGATCAATGTACTCTCAAAGACTACAGTATCAGTGATGGACCAATCTTTTATCTCTTCTTCAAGCCCTTGGAGAAGTCCAAATGGCCCTCCCTCTTTGAGAATCGCCTCAAATTCGTCCTCAAAGAGGGTTAATTTTTTCTCATCAAGTCTTTCTATTTTAAGTCATTGTAAGAGTCTTGAAATCATCAAGCATTAATTTAGCTAAGTGATGCTCTAGTAGTATTTTGAATAGGGTAGTGATATGACATCATCTATTGCTGTCGTGACAGTTTGTTTCTGTGCTAGAGTTTGACAAGTCACTAAACACTTAATTCTATTCTAAATTTATCGTAGATTAATTTTTCTTTGATTTGTGCAGTCTTGTAATTGACCCTTAATTTTTGTAGCGTCCATGGATCCCTCTACGTAGAGGGTGGCACGAGGTTGTGTTTGGCAACCACTTGAAGCTGGCTCTGGATTGACCCTAGTGTAATTTTAGAAAAAAAATTCACTCAAGGGGGGTTAGTCATCTAGAACTTAAAATTAGAACTAGGATAATATGTGGAATAAATTTTTAACGTGTTAGTCACATAGAATTAAAACTAGAACAAAATTTTACAGTGTTAGTCAAGTAGAACTCTAACAAAACTAAAATTGGGATAATGGTACAAAATTATCCCACTTTTTTATTTTTCTATACAAAAATGAGAGTTATAGTCTCTCAAATTATTCCAAGTTTTAGCTTGGAACTAGGTGGTAAAAAACTAGAACTCATATTTATTTTATTATTTTTTATTTTTTATATATCTTTTTTTTCTTTACTTCTTTCCTATTATGGTTATCATCATTATTAGACTATCATTATAATAATAACTGTTAATATCTTATAGTCTAACCAAAAGTTATTTAATAGTTCATTATTAGACTATCATTATAATAATAACTGTTAATATCTTATAGTCTAACCAAAAGTTATTTAATAGTAAAGAACATTCTTATAAGCAATTATCAATCAATAATAGTAAGTTTAAAATAGATAAATAGTATTTATTTCTTTAAAATTCATAAATATATATTTCATGATTATAAAAATTTATCGCACGTTATTTTATCAAAATATCCCGCTTCACAAAATTGTTCCTATTTATCCCACTAGCGAAAAATTATTCCACTTCAACAATTATCCCATTTTGCACGAATATGTCCCTATTGACTAACATCCCCTCAGAGAAGTGATAGGTAAACCCTTTTTTTTTTGTTGGACGCCACCCTTGGTTTAATCCTAGTCTAATTTAGGATAAATCTTGACCAAGATTGATCTGGGCTTAGTTTTTGAGTGGTTGTCAAAAACAATCTGAAAGAGCCCTCCAAATATATATATATTTTTTTGAGATAGTATTATTTCTTTAAAGTTAATAATGATACTAGTCAAATGAACCTTAAACATGATAATCAATCTTTCTCTAGTAGGACAATGCTCGCTTAAACTCCCAACAAAAAACTTCATAGTATCTGGATTTCTAGGGTAGGAAATTGTGCGGTGTTTCTCTGCTGATTGAAATCTCTTGTAATTTTCACTATTTTTTGTCCGTCATGCAATGGACTTTTAGTGGCCCAAGTGAGGCCCATTTACAAGTCCAAAGCAAAGTACTTGTCGGGAGCCCATATAAAGTCCAAATTTTACAATTAATAATCGTAATTGATCCTACTGTTTCAGTCAAAATTCGGGGGGAGGGGGAGTCAACAATATACATGATCAAATTCTTAAATAAAAAAGAAATTTTCCACAAGACCCTGTCATTTAACTAGTTTGGATGTTTCAAGCTGTCCAATTAGCCACCAAACTTCAATCACAGCCGCCTGCCTTAAAAACTCCCCCGCGATTTGTTTATACTGAAAAGCCACAATGATTTCAACTCGTAAAGACTATCATACTAACTCGATTACAAACAAGTCACAATCATCTACTCATATCAACCGATCTCAACTCATCTGATCTCCACTACCATTAATTTGAGTGCAGAAAATTTATTGGGGCAGTGGGGCATTGATTGAGATTTGAGAGTGAAGTTTTGCGTGCTTACAGCGACTCTCGAATCCTCGATCCAACCACGCCCTTTATTTATCCTCCAATAAAAGACTAAAAGCGTGTCCACAAGTAGCTCATTCATCTACATATTTCCAATAAATCCAATAGAAGAAGAAGAAGAAGAAAATGGCGAAGATTCACCTAGTTTTTATCCCAGCATGGCCAGCAGGCCACATAGCCTCAATGCTGCAATTTGCCACAAAACTCCTCCAAACATCCAACAACCTCACGATCACGACTCTCCTCATAAGATCCCCCTCTCGACCCTTCTCCTCAACCACAACCTCCCTCATCTCCTCCCTCTCCTCCTCCGCCCTCGACGTCAGCTTCCACGAGCTCCCGCCCGTC